ATGAAAACTCAAATAAGTTGCATCCAGGGTGGACTGTGATGAGGTACTTAGGGAACCCAAGACATCTCTGTCAACCATCATTTAACTAGAGTATTGACAGGTGACAGGGAGGTATAATCCTCAAGGGGAAGACCTGATGTTGAGCAAGGATCTGCAGAGAATCAGCAAATTTCTGTCACATTTTAAAAAACTCACTCAACTCAAAATTTCCTAAGGCTGTCCTCATACATCAATTCAGTAAAATAAAAAAAGTATTTCTCATCAGCTGAGATGTAGCTCTGTTGGCAAGAGTGCTTGCCTACCATGCATGAAGCCCTGGATTTGGTCCTCATAAACTGGGCATGGTGGTGCATACCTGTAATCCCAGCTCTTCCAGGATGAAGGCAGGAAGAACTTAGTTCAAGGTCATCCTCAGCTATATATCAAGTTTGAGGCCAGTCTCAGCTACATGAGATCCTGTTCATTTGCAAAACACCTTTAACTGTCGCGGGCAAAACAAATGGAGCTCTTGCAGGGATATAACCGTGTAAGGCATCTGTTTTTTAAAAAAAACCCTTAAAGTAGGATAAGTATCTCAGAAAACCAAATTTCATAAGAATGTGTGTAAGTAAAAAGTTTGCTGGGAAACACAACTAACTGGTCAAAGTGCAGCAAAGTGACTGTGGAGTGCTCAGCCCTAAATGGGACATCTATATCATACCACCTCCCCTCAAGGCTCAGGTGCATCCTGGAAGAGGGGGTGGAGTTATTTTAAGAACCAGAGGTCTGGGAGGACTGCCTTGAACCTGTGTCTTCTGTACATGACAAGGCCATTATCCTCATGATCACGGCAGCTGTAGTTGTTTGCAGAAGATCAAGTCAGCATGGATGGGGGTGGGATTCATGAAGCCCCACCCCTAGCTGAGGAACTATCGGCCGTTGATGGCTGATGGGGGTGGTGGTGGGTTTTCTTCCTTAGCACGGCCCTTGGTAGGTTATTCATGCTCCAGTGGATGGCACTACAGCCATGCACAGATGGGCAGCACTAATTGGACTCAGTGGGTCATTAAAAAAAAAAAAGACAGGAAGTTGGGAGAAAGCTGGGAGGAGTTGGGGGGTGGGGGATAGGGGTTGGTATGACAAAAATAATTTTACACACGTATCAAATTCTCAAAGAATTTTTAAAAAGGATTAAAAAATGTTCATTGGAAATCAGGTCATTAATCCCCAAAGGAGAGCACAGGCAGGATGTACTTTAGAAAAACAGTGGGCCATGCCTTTCTAGCTACAGATGCCCCTGATGCAGGCTGTCTGCAGAATGCTCAGTGAGGGTTTCCATGTTCACTTTCGATTATACAACACCCACAGTGGCATGTACTGAGAACCAGGCGATCCAGGAAAAAGTTCTATTTCCGGTCACACAAACTGAGAGGCTGAAATGGTTAACATTTCAGAGGTAGGTAGCTTACTGACGTTTAGAATGAAGCACTTAGAGGTGACTGTCCCAATTCCCTTGTAAGACTCTAGAATCCTAAATCATGCTACTTCACACCTAAAGGAAGCTAGATATACAGAGGTTTTTAAACTACGAAGACCAATTCCCCATAATCTTGATAGTGAAGAATAAGTGGAATATTAATCCAAGGAGATAGATGCTTGAACTAAAAGAGGTCTAACATTTTATAGCTTCTTAATCAGAACCCAGATCCCCGCCCCCTTTTTGAGACAGGTCTTTATCTACCTACCTGACAATCACCTTGGCTGTCTGATCCTGCAATTACAGGGCGCACCATCAAGGCTGGCTATTCTAGATTTTAGTGATAGAATCAAATTAAGCATGCTTTTCTTCTTTTAAAAATGAAAATCTTTAGCTGGAGCGATGGCTCAGTGATTAAAGTGGAGGGCCTGGTTTGTTCCCCAGCACCCTTATGAAGCTTACGACCAACCACCAACCATCTGTAACTCCAGTTCTAAGGGATCTGATGCCCTCTTCTAGCCTCTGAAGACTCCTGCAGGCATGTGGTGCACATATGTAGGTTCACACACATACCAAAAAACCCCACAAAAAAACGAACTTTAAAAAGTTAAGTATATATCAAGTTTGAGGCCAGTCTCGAACTTTTCTGACTCTAAATGCCTAGAGAGCTTAAAAGAGTACTGTATAAAAGTTCATGGCTTTGAATATCTCATTCTTTTCTAAAAAATATTTTATTTTTTATTTATTTTTTGGTCTTTTTGAGACAGGGTCTCCCTATAGCCCCAGCTGTCCTGGAACTCACCATGTAGACCAGGCTGGCCTTGAACTCACAGAGATCTGCCTGCCTCTGCCTCCGAGTGCTGGGATTAAAGGCGTGTGCCACCATGCCCGGCCCTTATTATTTTTAAGTGTATGTGTGTATTGTCTGAATGTAGGTGAGTTATGGACAGTTATTAGCTGCCATGTGGGTTCTGGGATTTGAACCCGGGTCTTCTGCAAGAACAACCAGTGTTCTTATCCACTGAGCCATCTCTCCAGCCCATGAATATCTCATTCTTAAATTGCCTTATTTTGCTTCATCTCAATTTTCCCCTAATGACTATGTGAATTTTTGTTGTTGTTTATTTTTGTGAGACAGAGTCTCCCTGTAGCCCCGGCTGGCCTGGAACTTGGTATGTGGACCAGGTTGGCCTTGATGTCACAGAGATCTACCTGCCTCTGCTGGGATCAATGTCGAGCACACCACCTCAACTCATGTATATATATATATACTCATGTATA